CACACGTGTTTACATATTTGAACTTTAAATCTGTTCCTTAAGCAATGGAGGAGGAGCACATGTACACTGAGTTGTAATTTGCTTGCTGTTGCCTGTTCACACTCTATTGTGCATCCCTTAACTTTCCAGTGGTTTTATTTCCACCAGTATAAATATTATTCTGCTCCAAAACTTTCACATTTTAGAACTGAAAGACCTTGGTGGTGTGAAGTTCACTGCGTGTATGTCCAAACACAAGGATGCTTTTCAGCTTGGTGGGCCTGATCTTGTCTCACCAGTCTTGAAAAGACGGTTCTTTCCAGAGCAAGTGTCTTAGAGATATTTGATGTGCAGCCCCTAGTATTGAGTAGCTGACTTTTTTTATTGTTCTTAAATTGGAAATGAGGATATAAATGTTGTTAAATGAAATGCATTAGTGCAAATGCATCTTTAAAATGTATTGAGTTGGACGAGTTTGGAGCCAGTATATTTGCCATGGAGAAGTATACCTGCAGTCAACTACACAGGGCACAGATTTTAAGGATAACTGATAGTATGCTGTATCTCATGCAACACACATTTATTAGAGCTCTCATGAGCTTCTAATATGTGATACTATGTGTTTTTGTTGCTTTGTTTTTCCTGTCTGCAAAGGATTCAAAAAATAGTAGTGGGGGAGGAAGAGATGGCTGTTTTAAAGAGTGTCTGTGCACTGAAGAAGTAGTTCCTTGTTTTGCACAAAGCATGCCTTCATTTGGTAATGTTTGTAACCAGCAGGAAGCAAATACAATAGTTTTTTTTAAATATTATGTACAACAGGAAAGTGCTGTAGTTAAATATTGCTCTCCCTTTCTACGAATTGGGTCAGCGACTGCTTTTTCATGGTGCTTGTATGGCTGATAAAATGCTGTGTGGGAAGGTACTGCTTACCTGTTTATTCCAGTTATGTTCATTTCCTTATGGAGAGATGGAATGTGAACCTTCTCTGTTTGCGGAGACCAAAGCATTTTTTGGACATGTTTATACTAGAATAAATTTATATGGAAGTATATGAAACAGCTAGAGTTGCCTTTTTGTTTACCCGGTTTAAACTCCCACCACTTAAGGGTATTCATGCTTTTTGTGGCGAGGACTAAAGGATGAAACTTTTCGAAGCACTCAGAATTCAGCTGGTTTTTAGCGCAGTGGTTTCAAGATGGTTTTCCATCCTTTTTAATAGAAACAGAAGTTAGAGCAGTGCTGGGCACATGTGAAAATCCTACCTGTAATGTGCACTTTTATTATAGAAAAGATTTATACCTTCTTTCAAATTGCCTTAGGAGACCAGCTTGACACAGAAGGTATTTTATTGCTTAAGAGATAAACAATTGCAGCAACCAGAACCCAAGAGGGTTTTTAACTTAAATTAAAAAAGACGCAAAAGGTCAATTAGTGCTTTAAAAGGATGGTGGAGAAATCAGCGCAGGGCACTGCAAGTCCACGCATATTTTGCAGCAGAACTTCTGTTCCAGTTCTGTTTTGTGTGTGAGGGCCGTTGCGTAGCATCTGTGTTAAATAGCGTTAAAATGAAATCACCCTTACCTCTGCAGGAAGGGGAGGGATGCACTGTGATTACTTATCACCCCCCGCCGAAGCTGGTGGGGCGCGTAGCCGGTGACGCGGTGATATTTCATGGTGGCACGAGTGGGTTGCCAAGCAGCAGCTGCTTTTGCCAAGCGCCTTGTTTGGAGCCGTGACTGCTCGGCACGTCTATTTGTGGCATGGAGCAAAACGCTCGGCGGGGCTGGCCGGCCACCCAGCCTTCTCTGTAAGAGTCCCCGTCAGCCTCGGGCAGCCTCCAGCAAGGGCAGCCGGATTTGAAAGCTCTCCAGAGAAAGCAGCGTGTGAGCGGGGCGGCACTCATCCGTCAGCGATGATGAAGCCGTGCGGCTATTTTTGCTGCTGTTTTCCAAAGCCCTTCTCCGTAGCCGCAGTGGGACGCTTCCCCTCCCCTCTTCTGCCGTTTCCTTTAGCACCTTCCCCACCATCAGCTTTGGCTTCTGATAAGATCCTCAGTGTGCCAGGAGGAGCTTTGCTGTCTTCTTCCTTCCTATGTACCTTTTCCAGTTAAATACTCAACTTCTCCCTTTTCTATTCTCCTTATCGCCACTTCCTTAACAGCAGGCTGGAGGGTTTTGTCCCAGATCCCAGGGAATGCCCTTGGGAAGCTGGTGCTGCAAATCAACAACCCCTTACACGCTTCTCGCTCCCCGTGGACAGCTTCACCTCGGAGTAACCTACAATTCCCTAATGAAAATGCTGTGTATTTTTAACAGCGTATTTCAGATCTTGGCAGCATGCCTCCAGCAAAATGACAGAAAAGAGAAAGATGGCCAGCTGCTCTGGATTTGTGGATTACTAAACCTTCACAGTAGAAACTGTGTTTAGCTTCAGTAGCCGAAAGGCCCTTTTTAAACTCCTGGCAAGCTCCTTTCTTGATTAATGGTAAACAAATTGTGAGTAATTCCACCGGCAGCAATGGCAATAGGCCTCGAGAACCAGGCAGCTTCCACTTAGTGCACATATGGAGTCTTGTCATCTTGTAGGACTGCTTCTTGAAAAAAGCCTCAAAGATTAAAACACGCTTTTTGGATGGACATCTTATTGCACTGCCTTGCTGTACTACTTGCTTTGCTACAGCCGTGCAGAAGACGGCACAGTCGCAAGCCGAAGAAGCAAGCAGATGGGTTCATGTTGACCACAGAAGATGCAAGCCAGCAGAAGTGGCTTCCAGCCACCTCGGTAGCCTGTGGATTTCAGGTTAGTGCAAGGACTGAAGCAGTCCAGCAGGAGAAGAAAACACTTCAGGGCTGTCTGATTCGCAGCAGCAGCCTCCCAGGGGAATTGCCTGCCATCTGGGACAAAACACAAGGAAACAATTGAGGAGATGATCAGTGATACGGGGAAGAGACAGGCTGACCTGCCTTGGTGCACCTACCCTAATCCGGGATGAATCAGCAAGTCCATCTCCCTGGAGTTTTTCGTACCCACAGAAGCTCGGCGTTGACCTGTGCAGGCAATGTTGCGAAGCAGGATGGAGAAGAAGAGCTGGCATCAGTATGCCTGCATCTCTGTTGCCAAACGCAGAAACCTTTTCTTCCAGCACTGTTTCTTGCAACCGTGCTCTGGCAAGATCATCATGGCCTAGGGCTACAACCTGAGCGTTGCTTGATCTGGAGCTTGCTCCATGACAGATGAAAATAGGGCTTGAGCTCCAGCCAAGCCGTGTCAGTGGTGAGGGTGCATCCTCCTTAGCCTGTTACAGCTTGTGACCCTCGGTAGCTCTGGTGCAAGATGGATAATCGCACCTACGGACGGGTGAATAAGCAGGGTCATGCTGCCTGGGTCCCACCTACCGTCACGTCCCCTGGCGCGGGGGAATAGCTTGCCCAGGGTTTGCTTCCTGACGAAGGGAGGTGAAGGAAAGACGCCTGACCAAACCCATCCCACAACTTTGGCAGCAGCAGAAACGTAGGGTTTTGTTGGCCAGGCTGCGGGAAGACAGCTGCCTGCGAGCCCAGGCCTGCATGGAGAGTGGTGTGTGCTGTGTACACTTACCCAGCAAGCTGTCCCAGCGAGCGGGGAGAGGTACAGCCCAAACCCACCATAAACCAGACCCTCTGCAGTGGGTCCTAGGAAGGTGAAGGCATATTAAGAAGTAGTAGCCTTGACTGGACTTTCTGTCATATCCTTTGTTGTCTTCTAGTCCTAATTTCTCTACTTGTTCCCTCCGTTTGTCTTCTTCCAGCCCTCCTCTTGCTCATGCCCCCTCGCCGACCAGCGGGCTCTTCGGATGCCAAGGTGCCATGTGTCCTGAGCATAAAGGGCACACGGTTCTGCAGTTCAACTGATCGCTGACGAGGCTGAGTCCGTTCAACGCAAGGGAGAAGTTACTCGAGACAGCTTCCCAAAAGCCTGCCTTGGCTGCAGTTAGGAGCTGCTGGAAGCTGAGCATCCCACATCTGCCGCAGGCGCTGCGCTTCAAGCAGGGAGAGCTTGCAGGGGTGTAATTATTAGCTGCAGACCTGCAGCATCCCTAGTGAGCGGTGCACAACAGGTTTTTTTAAATAGAATATAACCATGAAATAATTGCAACGTTAGGAGGGCGTTCTGCGGTGAAGGAATGATTAATTTTCATTCTTTCTTCTTTCTTCCTGGTCTTGCTCTTTCAGTTCCCTAATGTCCACGGTAGACCACTTCAGTAAGTATTCTTATGTTAGATAATTGTTCTACACACACCACATCACTGGAAATCAAGCTTCATTTTTCCTCCTTCAGATATTGCCCATTATAGCATGCCCGGCAGTTCAGTTAATGGCCTGTGAAGCACAACAGAAACCAAACTGTCCGTCCGTACCTACCCTTTCTCTGAAGTACTGACAAGAAGAAAGATGCCTGTAGGTAAATTCAGCACACAGGACTTCGAAGACACAAGTGGAACATTAAAGGCCATTTTTACAATGTAGTTAATATACCGGAGCATTGAAGCAATATTTACCTAATGACCGAAGTCATCTCTTCGTGCTTTCCACCGCCAGTTTGCCCATCATAAAATGTTGTTGGAATCCACCCCCGCCTCAGCAGAAAGTACCTGTGGGGAAGTTTGGTGGTGAACATAGTTGCTGACGTCGGTTACTCACACCGCAGCTCTCCTGGGCAGCTTCTGTCAACAGCCGGCACCGAAGCCCCTTTCCAGCATCCGAGTTTGCGGGAGGGCCTGGCAGGGGAATGTGTGCTCCTCCGCTCGCAGCCAGCGTCAGTAAATCACAGCGTGACGGGCTTCACCACCCCGACGCTGAACTTTTAACTTGAAGCTCTAGCAGGGCGCTGAGGAGCTCCGGCTACATGACACGGAGCTGTGCAAGTAAATCGCTTCGCTGGGAACGAGGGGAAGTCCAACATATTGTTTTGCAGACTTTGCCTACAGCATCTTTGCAGTATAAACGTAGAATATATATCCCCAGGAAAGCAATTGGAGAGCGATGGACTTCCAGCGCCGAGCTCACCCTTACCCCATCCCGGAGGATGAAGAGGTTGCACACAAGGTCGCTCCTGATGCTCACAACTCCGCAGGAAACGAAGGCGAGAAACCGGTGTCAAAACTGCAACGTAGGCACAGTGACATAAAACTCTACAAAGAGTTTTGTGACTTTTATGCGAGATTGTAAGTCCATTCTGTTCAGCTTCGGGGTGTAACTACAGTGACATTGTTGGTGTATTGTACGTATGTATGTTATTATCTGAGCTCGGGGAAGGCTGTGCAAGCCGTTTCCTAATGGAACCTTTGCCACTGTTTTGCTTGATAGTTGCCAGTTGTAATTGCCAACTAAAATTTGAGCTGTTGCTTTAAACTTCATCATTAATTGCGTCAGAAATTTTTATCGGCAGTTGAAATGGGCTTGGAATTTGTGAAGTAGTCTCTCTGACTTTAGGTTGGTTGCCTGTTATTTTGGGCAAAGGGATAATCTGCTTCACTAATGCAGAAGTATTACATACACGGCTGTTTTTACATATATGACGTGTTTCAAAGTGCAGTATTTTTGCATACTGAGGAGGAAAGCTTTATGTTTTCATTTGGTTTTGAACTTTGTTTCATGTTTTTGCTTGATTCTACTTTATGTCTGGCAGCACTTCACATCCTTAGTGCTTGAGAACTGTTGAGGGGATGATGAAAGATCCCAGTTTTTGTTGTGATTATTCTTCGTTTGGATTGGTAAGGAGGACGGGTGAGGTGACTGAGGCTTCCCCCCACAGAAGGCATACACAATCCACGGAGACCGTTGGCGAGCTTTACAGTTAACCACAGTTTATACATCTAATCACTGCAGTTTGCCCATAGGCTTGTCTGTTATGTATGGGATAGACCATCCCCCATCTGATCTCCCTGTGAAATTTGCCCACTTCTTGTTTCGCCGAGGGAATATTTGGATTGCAGTTACTGTTTGCCTCTTCGGCAAACATCTCGAGAGACAGGCAAGGAAAAAAAAGAAAGCCAGCTAATAATAACCGGTCAGATGTGACCTTGCGTAGGGCTCTTCCGTGGGACAGTGTAAGAAATAGATAAAGCACATTCCTTGTTGAACCACATGCTAGGTGTTTGCTTGCTCCCTCGGATGCTGTGCAAGGAATTAACTCAATTCCTGCCGAACCTGGTGGGAGCCAAGAGGTCTTACCCCCGTGGGGGGAAAGGCTTGGCATCTTGCAGAGGACTGAGGGCTCTGCGCTTCCAGGCACAGCACGATAGCTGTATCAAAATGTGCACACGTGTTTAAAATAACGTCAGTTGTTTAGTAAGCTTCCAGATAGATGTTTGAGTCAGTGGTTTTGTCAGCTGTGGTCAGATTGTAATGAAACGAGAGCATGGCCCTGTATTTGCTCTCTGCTATCAGATGGTATTAGGGCAGAGAGGTGATCCTGAAAGGCACAGCTTTGAGAGTCTAGATACAAGTAAGAGAATGTTTGCAAAGGAAAAATCAAGTGAGCCTCTTTCTGGCCTTGATTAACTGAAACACAGCTGTACCGTCTTCTGCAGATGTGGACACGATCCTAATGAAGTAGCGAATTCCTCTGATATTTTGCAGCTACCACGCTGTCATTGGATAGTCATGTGCCTTTGAGAAGCAACCCAGGTTGCCAGTGGAGTATTTTTTTTTAATTCCCCAGCATGGGTTTGCCAGTTTGTGTTGGCCTGCCTGTGGGTCGCAGTGGGGCAGCCAAAGCATCCCCACCCTCCCCCTTGGCCCTGGACCACCACCGGCACGCCGTGAGCTGAGCTCCCGGAGATGAACCCTCACAAACCAACCAAAAATCCCACAGCTTCAAACTAAATTTGTAAAATGACTTCAAGCGATGCAGAGCTCATATAAGGAATAATTGTGTACCTGCTCTGGTTTTCAGTAATATCTGCCACACTAGATACCATACACTCATTCACATCGCTTATTTGGAGCTTTGCACCCAATGCTGTCATATATATTTTAGAATTAGGAGTTGTTTTGGAATTATCATTTATGTTTTCCTATGTGATGCCAGTCCTCAATTATTGTTAATATTTGCCCTTGTTTTCTGTAATTCTAATGTATTTCATCATTTTTATAGTATTTCTTTGAATTGCCTGCCTTTTCTCATCATAAAAAGCCTGTAAATGTATCTGTAGTAATGACACTTCTGTTTGTTTTTTTGAATTAATAGTTATTAGAGTGCGTTGTGGGGTCTTTGTTTCTAAAGAGTCTGGGAGCAGAGGGAAGTGGCAGTTTTATTTCTGAGGGGAGGCCACAAGTAATGAAGTCCATTGAAAGACTTGCGTTGAGCCGCCTGGTGTTAGGCTGATGCACTTGGCTTTGGGGGGGCAGTGGGGAAGAGACGCACAATCAGTGGTGTTGCCTATTTGGGCTAATTTTCTTTCTGTTTCTTTTTGGTTTTTTATGACAGCAACATGGCAAACGCACTTGCAAATGCCATTTGTGAGCGCTGCAGGGGTGGCTTTGCCCCTGCCGAAAAAATTGTCAACAGCAACGGTGAGCTGTACCACGAGCAGTGCTTCGTCTGCGCCCAGTGCTTTCAGCAGTTTCCCGAAGGGCTCTTCTACGAGGTAAGGGGGACAGAGACCCCAGCCTTTGCCTTCTGCCTTCAGTCCCATACCAGAGGTAGCTACGGGCAGATCCATAGCTTAAAAGTCCCGTGGCAAGAACTGGGCTCCGAAAGGATATGCCCAGTAGAGGGGAAAAAAAACAGAAGCATTTCTGTGCTAATTTGGAGGACATCCATGTATAAAACTTTATTTAAGTGTGTAGCCTAATGTTATCAGAGCTGCAGAAAAAAAAAAACAGCTGGAGATTTCTTTCCGGTGTAGATTTTTTTCCCCTGAAATCCGTGAATCTGCTATGTCACACCAGAAATACAGAGAAAGCATATGTCTTGGAGGAGAATGGTCATATAGAGGGAAACCCCAGCATCCTGCGGTCCTTGCTGAGTTGAGTGGGGCCAGCATGGCAGGTGCAAAGTTGCTGGTAGAGATGACCTGTAAGTTGCATGTTGAGATTGGGGTGTGCGGACTGCCCAAACCAGACAGGGCCTACGCAGGGTCAACTCTAGGTTTAACAAAATTAGGAGTTCTTGCATGCTTTCAAGGGTTAAATCCCGCTCTCATTCGTATTTCTCAGCCCCAGGTAGATTGCCCTCAGCTCAGATAGGTATTTTGATATCGGTGTCATTTTCTTTTGCCTTCCGCTCTCGTGGGGATTCAGGATGTGGCTCAGCTATCTCAAGCACAAAGTGGCTTTAGTGAAAGCTTTAGACTCGTTCATAAAATATGAAGTGATTGGTATAAGAAAGGATGTGAGACAGGATTACTGTCTGAGAGATAAGGTCCCGCTCAAGTAGCTTGTAGTCCAACTTAGGGTAGCAGTTACAGGATTTATGCCATCCTCTGATCTGAAAAGGAAGGTGAAGCAGCGTGTTAAAAGCACAATGCTGTGCTCTCACGTACAGTGTGCCATTCCTGTGGCAGGAGCACAAGAGTTTATCTTCCACAGCAGTATTTCTAATGTTACAGAGCCACGTTACGTGGTGATGAGGAGAGGCTGAGGGGGGAGCGCGGATTGGAAAAGAGACCTGCAAAGGAGATGCCTGGGGTTTGCTTCCTCTCACCTTGTTTGTGGATTCAAAGACTTTTCAGTGCTATAGGGATAGTCTTGCACAAATTGTGGTAAATGAACCACAGGTGTTCCGTAAGACATCAAAAGGTGAGCTGCAAGGCAGCAGCAATTAAATAAAAACAAAACACCTGCTAGATACTTATACGTTGCATCACAATTGTTAATATATAGTGAGGTGCTGCCTGCTTGCAGGCATGGTAAGGAGTCCTTCCTGACGTGTTAAGACCTGAGGCAAACGTAAAGCGATACAAATGTTTTAAAACTAAAATATTGGTAATTGTATTAATAATATGCTCTTAAAGCAATAAAATGTATTTTCTCTAAATAATGAGTACTTTATTCATCCTTTTTCTGACTCAAAAAACAGTGAGACATTTCAGGGACCTCTTTCAGAAAGCTGAATGGTCCTTTGTTAAAGCTACAAGTTAGAGAAATCTTGCCCTAGGCGGCCCGTATCTCCTAGGGGATGGACAAGGACGATAATGCAAAGAAAATCTTACTTTTGCACCTAGCCCAGGAATATTACGACGTCTCTGTTGCTCACGAGTGGCCATACCTGAATCTCCTTGGCAGGGGCAAGTATCCTGGGGGTGATTAGATATATTGGATGTAGGCATTTTGCTGCCTACTGCTACCTTGTTAACGTTCATATTCATTATGGTTGGTCTTTGAGCACCCTCTTACTGCAAAGTGATGCTCCCTGTTAGCGACAGTAAGTCGGAAGCAAGTGTCGATAGATTGTCCTGGGAATGAAAACAGACCCATGTACTCAACAGGTTTTGGTTACCATTGCTGGGGTTTTTTTCAGGCTGGGTAGAGACCTTGTTCTTGAGAAATGTTAACATAGAAAGTGGAAAGTTTCAGTTAAGAATAGACACTTTTTGCCACAGCTATTACAGAGGTAGAATAATTGTGATGAGGATTAAATGAATACGTAAAGACTTGTGTGTGGCTTGAACTTCACATCAACCTTCTACCTCTAGCCCTTCTGGTGCCCACCACAAGATCTTGCAGTTTCTCTCCGCACCAGCAAGTCTGCCTGACGCTGTGGAAGAGAGGTACTGTTTGGTCTCTTTAAGCCCTCTGACAGCCTTCGGGTGATGGCTCATAAATCTTACCCAGCCTTCCTCCCCCAGCTCTACTGGCATGTCCTGGGCGTCTTCTGGAGAGCGGAGAGGGCAGTGAATATCCGTGCTGTCCCAGCCGTCGTGCCTTTGGGGTTGTTTCATCTGGGAAATCTTCGGCAGGGCCTTCTCCTCTGTCTCTGCACCCTTTAGGGTATCCACGCGTGTCCCGTGCTGCCAGAAAGACTCTCAGCACTGAAGGAGCCAGTGAGATGCTTGCAGTGGAAACCCCAGTGTGTTTACTGGTGGTGCTGCGAAGGGTGAAGGGCAGACAAGGGCACATCTTGCTCTTCTTTCTTTTGGCACCTTGGTTCTAGAGATGAGAATGTACCAGGTGACAGCGTTTGGGGGAGAGGGGGGGACAGCCCTCAGCAGGTAGAGGGTGAGCTTAGGTTGGCCTGTGCTCAGGAGATGGCTGACAGTGCCCTGAGGACTTGATCTGTATCACTGTCAAGAAAAAAGTGATGGGAGAAGACAGGCAGAAAGGGTACCTTCCTCTGACTGGTGTAACGCACTCTTTGGGAAGATGGATGCGTATGGAGGTGTGGCCAGGTACCGTGATTTTTCTGAGCAGGTTCCCCGTGGGTAAACGCAGGCGTTGTTGGTTGCCCAGCACGAGTTTGTGTTTATTCTGTGCCTGACTTAGCTAAGCTAGTGTTTCTTGGAAATGATTTCCAGCTCTTAGCAATCGGGAAGTCAAATATTCTTCCCCTGCCTATTGCAAGCCTTGCAGAGTTCCCCCAGTTAGTCATTAAGCTGCTTATCACATTTGCTGTCAAACGCTGCCGTGATAAGCTTTCACGCTGTGTGCCATGGGTGGGGGCTGACCTGGTCAGGCCGATGCAGGTCTCCTGCGCCACGGGACGTTGTCTCTGGGCAGCCTGCAAGGGACCCACAGAATCACAGAATCGGTTTGGTTGGAAGAGACCTCTGGGATCATGGAGTCCAACCTTTGCCCCAACACCCCCATGTCAACTAGACCATGGCACTAAGTTCCACGTCCAGTCTTTTCTTAAACCCCTCCAGGGATGGGGACTCCACCACCTCAATGCCCAGCCACCCTTTCTGGGAAGGAATGCCTCCTCATTTCTAGCCTGA